TCACAATACTGGGAGCGGCTGACCCCCCCAACCTTAAGCAAACCTTTTCCACCATGGAGGAGGACGCACAGAGCCCCAGGGAGTTTGCGAGAGCCCAGTCCAGGGCATGGCTGTGTCCCGTCACACCCAAAGCAGAATGGCCCAACACCTGCTTTCCCAGGGCCACCCCCACAGCATCTTGGGGTGAGGGGTAACTGAAGCCTGGAACAGGTCTCTGTAGGAGGGTTGAGGGAAAGGGGTAGGTTAATTTGCTACATTTTCAGACAGGTTCGCCAGATCTGGAGGAGGTCCTGGAAGGCAAAAGGGGCGCATCTGGCATATTATCAGAAGTGTCCTTCAGTCACCAACTACCCATGACCCGAACTGTGGACAGTAGTCAGGGCGGGCATCTTAGGCGTGTGGTGAGGAAGGTGGCAAATGGAAGAATTACGGAGAGTGACTGTTGAAGTTTGGGACTCTTTGGGACTTGAAACTCAGACTTAAACTGTAAGTCCATGCTGAAATGGTCTCAGACCAGTTTCCCATTTTTTCTCTTACACCACACACCCTGCCCAATTGGGGCAAACATTACTGTTGTTTTTGATTGTAGTATCAAGAGCCAAAGCACCCGTAGTTCTTTTAGTATCCTTTAAGTGCGATCTTACTAGAGTGACAAAAGGGGCTGATGTGAGAGAAAAGGAAATTATAATAGGTTAACCCAACTTGCTCGTAGAGAAAAAAAATGTGTCTGTGAGCATGTATGTGTATGGACAAAACTGAGTGTGTCTGAATGAAGGAGGTCTTACATGGGGCCTAAAATTATATTTTGGAACACAGAGGTCCCTGGAACAACTGTGTATTTCACTGATAGTAGCTGCTTGGCTGGGGGGTGGGGAGAAGAAAACCCACTACCTGACAGTGGGGGGCGGGGAGGTGGGGGGTGGCACATTTTTCAGAGGAAAAAGTCTTGCTGTCCCTGGACATTATTAAGGGTCCAGTTTGAAGTATACATTTTTTTTTCCTTTAAAGAAAAGGGAGCGATTACCAGTTATACATTAAGAAATGTCACTCAGTCATTTTTATTCATTCTCCGGAAATCTTCGTAAAAGCCTGAATCATAATTCTACAAGCAGCAATTTTGTTAATCCAGGGGGTTATTACTCTGGGCCCTTATTAGGTTCTACACCACTGCCAAGCAATCCTATAACCCTCTCAAAAGAAGTTTACCTCCCTGTTATAAAACCAGTAGTGGTATTTATACTGTGCAATAATTAGTGTATTACTTGAATCCACTAACACGTTCATTTTATCTCTGCACAAAACCTCTAGTCTGCTTATAGAAAGCTTGTGCCTCCTTTGGTGCTGTTAAAGTGGTGAAAGAGTGAATTGAAGGCTGGTTGCACTTTCTCCTTTTGCCTCGCCTTAATTCCCATCTCTTTTTGCTCTCATCCAATTAGCACAGTGTATTAAGCGGTTTATCATCTCATAGTCAGCTATTGAGAGAAACAAGGCGAGCACTTTGCAATAGAACCTGCGCTCCTTTGACACCCTCAGGTACTTACATATTCCACTGCGCTATGAATAATAGAGGAAGAATGGAGCGCTAATTCCCTCATCAAAGAATGCCTTGTCTGCTGCTTTGCTCAACAACACCATTCTGATCAAAAGAAAAGCAATAAAGCTTAGCATAACAAAACGAAACCTACTTATTAGCTTAGTGGTTAAATTAATGCAGAGCCGCTGCTATTCAAAACCAAGGTTTGAAAACAGCCTCCAACAACCTGATAATGCTGCCTTCGGGATGAAGGAATTTTAATCTGAAATTTGAGGCTGGCTGAGATGAGTTAATCTATTAAACTGCTATAAGGAAGCTCCACCACAAACTGTTCAATTAAGAAATATTTAGGTGAGAGAGAGAGAGAGGAGAAAGGGGGGGCAGGAGGGAGAGAGGAATAGGGAATGGCAGCTTTAAATTTGGGATGGGAGCATGGAATTAAAAGGTTGGGCATCCTGACAAGAGGGTCTGGGGCTTGGTGTTTTTCTTAAAACCCTAACACAAACAGGAAAATCTGTTTCGTTTTTTTTTTTTTTTTTNGAGTTTCCTTAACATTGCATCTTCTGCCAAACTCATTTTAAATGATGTTTGAAGAAGTATGTCGTGGTGGATGGTGTGTGCTGGAGGTAAGAAGTGGCAAGGCCTGGAGACAGAGGTGGTGGTGAGGGGCAGTGAATTCCTTCCCTTTCACCATCTCCCAGATCCCAGTCTTGGAACTTTCATTAGCCCCCACATCCTGGGCAGCAGTCATGAAATTTACGCCATCTGTTTTCTGGACAAATTAAAATCTTATCAAGCATGCTCTGTGGGATTTTCCACTTCTGGCCCCCTCCATGCACCTTATATGTAGGAGGGTGGAGGGTTAGCAGATCGATCGTCTCCAAGATAAGCTTGCGTACAAGGATCTGTTGTAGGTCAGATCATAGTTCCTAAATTAAACAGAAAAGGTGCCCTTTCCAGAGGCAGGGGGCTCTGAAAAGAGCAAGGTTCTTTTATGGTAGAATTTCCCAACTGGCCCAGATAAACTTTGGCCCAGAGGTTTACTCTGGCCCATGGAGAGTTTAAAGTTTCATTTTAAAAAATTAGTTGTCTTCCTAGAAAGAACAGAGGAAAATTAAAAATAGTAAAAAAAAGAAAAGAAAAAAAATTAGTTGTCAAGGTTTAGAAATCAATAAGCTTTGTGGATATTTAGATTCCTGGCTTCTCTTAAAAACTGGATCATGTGGCCACACTGGGCCATGTCCCTCCCAGCATCACTGAGTAGCTGCTGGCCCCTTTGGACAGGACCAGCCCACTCCTGTTTGCCACAGGCCCTGCCACTCACTCTGGTGTAAACCCAGTTTGCTTCATCCATTCACTTTTTGCATCTGAGTTTAGGATCAGTGCCAGAGTCCATGGAGACCTGAGGAGATCAGCTCTCTCCTTACAAATAAGATGGGCCAAGTTTTCACATCAGTTCTGCCAGGTGCACTATCAACCAATGCAAATCAAGGAGTAGAAACATCTCTCAGAGAAAAGAATGTGATATTCCCATCTTCCAAAAGAGATCTCCTGGAATTCTTAAAGCCACAGTTTCAACTTTCCACAAAATTCTGGAATCCTTAGGTGCCTGGAGTTCTAACAGATCCCAATATGAAAAAAAATGTCTGACATTCTAGAGAGATGGTCCTTGCCCTCAGGGTGTTTATAATCTAGAGGCAGAGACAAGAAACAATCCAGTGAGAAGTTACTTGAGTCTCCTGGAGTTTCTTGATGACCAAGTTCAGGATAATGATTTATATTTAATATAATCCCAGATCCCAGAAATCAAGGAAAACATGCCTTCCCTTCAGAAAGCTTGGGCTCTGGAAGCACACTTCGGAGAACCATCTCTCTAACCTCATATGAGAATAGCCATTACTCAAAGAGTTGACCAGGGAAGCAGTAAAACCACATTAATCCCTTAGTTCCTGAAGTAACTTGGGTGCTCTAGCTTGTGACAGGCCGCAGAGCTTACACAGTACCAAGTAAGTTAATTAACTGACAGGGCTAGAAACCCACAGTGTTTCTACTTAGAATCTCAAATCTCAGTCCAAGAGCTGGAAGAGAAAGGAGGAGAGGGATGAGAGCCAGAGGGGAGCTCAGGAAGAGAAATACAAAGAAAAAGCAACATAAAAGGCAGCTTCATCTCTACTGTTTAACCTGTCAGTATTCCTTCACTAGGGGGACCTCTCTTGGGGGTGCTTTTCTCCCAGGGGCCCTAAACCTTGCTCTTCAAAAAGACACGCTGCTGGGCTCTTGGCTTGGCTCTCTGTGGCTCTCCAAGTCTGCAAAGCACATGAGAAACCATACTTCCTCTCTTAAATGACTTAAAGTCACAGAAATTCTGAATGCTTCTTAGAACATTCCACCAAATATCATGCTGTGCACTCCTGAGTTGGGTTCTGATAGAGGTGGCTATGAAGAAACTGGGCTGAGGTTTGAAAGGGGGATGGCCTCTAGTTTTATATATATATATGTATGTATGTATGTGTGTATGTAGTTAGGGGTCTCACTCTGTTTCCCCAGCTGGCTTTGAACTCCTGGGCTCAAGCCATCCTCCTGCCTCTACCTCCCAAGTAGCTGGGACTACAGGTGTGTGCCACAGCAACTGGCCCTAGTCACATTTTACTTCTTGCTGCCCCTGTAGTCAACTCTTTGGACCTGGTAAGGATTCACCACAACTGCTTTCCCTTCAGAAAACTTTATTTTTATGTTTAAGGCACAACACACTTTTTCTTTTATAAAAACACACAGGTCAACATTTTTAAAAACACAGCGTAGTTGTACAAGAGGAAACATTTGTTAGTATAATCTTACCAATAATGTAAGAGCAAAGACCGCCATACTGAGATACATTTTGTTGCTGCCATAGAGGGTCCCATTCTGAAGAAATGAGAAAATAGCAAGCACCAGGGCAAACTAAGCATCCCCCCTCAACCACCAATTTTTCTGAATACAACACAGTGATCCTCACCCCAATCCTTACACATGTTAATGAATTGTTAGGGTATCAGAGGATTTTCAATGTGCTTTCTTGTATAAACCTTTACCTGCACTTTCTATGTAAAGGGCAAAAAGGGAATGTGAGCATAAACCACCTGCTCAGTGTGTGTCTGCTGGACTTTCGAGCAATTCAATAAACAAGGCTGCTCTATTTAATCTATTTAGTGAGTGCAAGGCTTCTAAATCTCCCCCTCAGTTACCTATATAAAAGACCAGACTGGGGCCGGACGTGGTGGCTCATGCCTGTAATCTCAGCACTTTGGGAGGCCGAAGTGGGCGGATCACGAGGTCAAGAAATCAAGACCATCCTGGCCAACATGGTGAAACCCGGTCTCTACTAAAAATG